CAGCTGACAAACTTTTTACTTTAAATGCTGAGTCAAAATTCGAGGAAAGTAGCTCTCATTTAACTTTTGTAGCAGCCATTCAAGAAGCAAGCAGTACTATTTCCTTCTGATAAACATACTACTATTTTACATTGCCTCATGCCTAATCCTAAATACTTAATTGTTTCCTATGAACTCATACTAGATACATGGTAATCCTTTTGCTAATAAAGACAGTGAAGCCCCATGAAACAGATTTTTTGACAGAAAGGAGAATAATTAGAGGCTTACTACTTAATTGGCACTAATGACAACATTCTACTTCCCTGAAAAAGCACTGAAAGTGTTTGCTGATTTCCATGATATAAGAGCAATTGCCAATCATATAACTGATGTCTACTTTTATCTTTTTATGATTCTGCACAATGATTTCTACCAGAATATGCTACCTTTTTGGAACTAAGGAAAACTAAGTGCATGTTCTCATTCTAACTTTAATGTTACAGAAATCTATGGTTTAGCCATAAAACACAGTAATAATTTCATTTAATTTTTGTAAACAACCTGAAGGCCCATCTAGCCTGTACGGTTCTCTGTGTGGCTATAAAGACACAGTTCTTCTGTCTCCAATGGAACTTGTCATTTAGCTACAGTTTTTTAAGATTCTCACCACTTTTCTGAATTTCCAGTAGCAATCTGTGTCTCGTAAACAAAGAATACCATTAATTGATATAGTGGATAAAATGCATTTTCTGGATAATACTGTCCTGAAACATTGCCTCTCACTGTCCCAGTGAGCAGTACTCTCTGAAGTGCACTTTGCAAGAAGAAATATCAAAATGTGTATATTTGCATTGGCACACACTGTAGAAATTTATTTACCAGATCTGTATAGGGAAAAAAAACTTAATTTTCTTTTTCTTTTTCTTTTTGACAGTTCAAAGTTGCTTATACCTACACTATGCACTAAGCACTATGTAAAGGAAAGGTGAGATTTTAATGGCTAGAAAAATGAATACAAAAATTGGGTTGAGAAAGGTTGCATGGAAGTGGCTACATAACAACTCCACTCAGACTCCAAGCATCACCAATATGAACTAGGCATTTTGTCTGCAAATCAATACAGTTGTGTCAAGCTGGAGCCACCATCTCAGTGAAGGCTAAAAATGGAGCCAGGATGCCAGAGCACAGTACCATAGAGCTGGGAAAAATCTCACCTCTGTTAATCTGAAATTTGGCAGGTCAGACCCCTCCCACAGAGCAACAGAGTGAGAAAACTCAGTCCTTAGTCTAGTTTTATAAGCAACAGAAAGAAATGCAGGAAGTCCCTTGTAGTATGAAAAGAGAACATTTTGGGGCTCATTATGCTATAAAAAATGTCACTAGAGGAATTCATATACAAGGGCACCCAGCCACCACCGTGGCAGGCGCCATACAGAACTGGCAGAAATCACAGTGCTGGTGCTTATCATGCAAGTGGGCTTGTGCACATACTGATCTCATTTGCTTATAACTTTTCCAAATATAACTGTTTGGGCTGAACACAGCCCATGCCTGGTGTGTGTGCCTCAGGTTGTTTTCTTTTTTTTCTATTTGGCTCTATGTTTCTGGTTTAGGGTTTTGACATTTTCAACTAGCACTATTTAATCACTTCAGAGAGTGAGACCAAACAGAGAACAAGTTGCTTTGCTCTATAGAGATATCTCAAATGGAGACATACACTTTAACAAGGGAGTAACTGTGTCAGAGATGTGCCTCTTGCTTCCCTGTCCCAAACTGAAAAAGTTTAAGGTACCTTTGAAAAGTCAGTAATTTTCATACTTAAAAGAATCTAGCCAAAGGTTCAGAAGCAAGCATCTTCCCAAACTGTGCATCACTCAGCAAGCCAAAGTGTCCCTCAGCTCCTGAGTATCAGGCTCTAGTGAAACGGCCAATCTCAGAAGAGAGACAGAGCATCCTCCCCATGTTTTTCCTGCTGCTGCTGCTGCTGGCAGAACTCTGAGCTGCTCTCAAATGGGGACTGAGCTGGCCCTGCACAGCAGCCAAGGGACAGAGAGCCAGCTTTCCTCTAATTACTAATCCCAAGTACTCTGTGTACAGCTGGAGCTAGTCAAGTACAGCTTGAGCTAGGCATCTGGCCCTGGGGGAAGATGGAGGCAGAAGGGTGCTTGGGTCTGGGTCTGAGACTGAGCCTAGCAGAGACTATTTTATAAAATTAATTTTAATGTTTTGGTCTTTTTCTTTTGCACACAGAACAACATAGCTGTATGTTGAATCAAAGTAAAGGTATTTAGACCTTTTTCAAGCTGTACATAGCCAGAGCAAAACTTTGTATTATATGCACTGGAACAGGTTGCCCAGGGAAGTGATTAAGTCCCCATCCCTGGAGGTATGTAAAAGACACTTAGATGACACTTAAGCTTAGTGGTGGACTTGGCTGTGTTAGATTAATAACTTGATCTTAAGGGTCTTATTCTACCAAAGTTATTCTATGATAAACCCTGTCCTCCTCCCTCCTCACCAGCCCTCTCTAAGAGGCTGAGCAGAAGGCTTGGCATATCCATGTGCAGCCACACAGCCTGGGCCATGCTGTGAAAGGAAACGACCACAGACACTCAAAGGTTTAATAGGTAAATTGGAATAGACTGTGCAAAAGGAGTGGGGAAGAGGGGAGAGACTTGAATCAGGGAAAGAGGGTAGGGATGAGAACATGAAGTTGGGACTGGTTTGTTAAGGAAAAAGGGACTGAATTAGGGAGAGGGGGAAGGGAGACAAAGGGATTCTGGTTTGAACAGTAGCTGCAGGGTACATGAGTAGGATTTGCTAAATATCGAGCCTAGAAATGAGAGACATGAAGCCTGAAAGCTGGAATTTGGTATAAATAATGGGATATGTCACAAAACCAAACATGAGGAAGACCCAGGATGGGGGCAAAAATGAGACACAGAGAGAGGATTTAGAAGTGACAGGAAGGAAAAATCCATGCTTGGAGATATGATAAGAAAGTGTCAGTACCTCATTGGCTCTGGAATTTGGACTGTCACCATGACTCTAATTGTCACCACTCTCTGCTCTTAACAAGCAGATGTGAAGTCCATAGGCAAAGTATGTTTATCTTCTTTCTTATGAACTGTCTCATTGCAAGAAGAAGCATACACTGCTATTAGCAGCTGTTCACATGGCAAACATCCCTTCAGGGGAGGTAAGAGTTCCAGTACCCTGATAAGACACATTGGATTCATATGGCAGGCTTTTGATTTTGAGATTGCTATCATTTTGTAAAAAAATCAGATTTACACACACAGAAAGTCCTGCATTAAGGCATCTGCCTGAATATTTCATTGGTGAAAACTCAAGAACTAGATGTCAGGCTAAGGTTACCTGTACCTTGTGGGTAAGCATGGTACAATCCTTTCTTACTTACTGGATTGCACAGAGTTTGCTCCAGAAGACAGAATCTTTTTTCAGTAAGGAGTATCTAACTTATGATTGTGAGGTGGAAATGTATAGTGACAGAGACCCCTGTAGTTCCACTGAACTCTGCATCTGCTGCACAAGCTGGAAAGTGTGTGGGAAGAGGGGTGTAAATGCAAGAGGCAGTAGCAGATGTGAAAACATTTGCCTCCAGTTATAGAAGTCATTGCTTCTGGGAGAAACTGAATTTGACCAGCTCTGCTATGACACATCTCTCAACCAACTCTGCTATGAGACATCTAAGAGATACTAAGTGAATTTCTAGAACTAAACTATTTTTTTCCCCTGTAGGCTTACCTCCCCACCCTACCTATGCTTAGATTTGTACAAGTGACAAGTGCCTATGGCTGGTATTGAAACTAATGAGAGCTGGACCTGAATATATCACCACTGGGAGAGGAAGAGCTGACAAAATATTGATGAGGAGAACGAAAGTCCTGTAGTGCATGGCACTATTCAGATAGGAATGTGCTGTACTCCTTTAAGATCAGCATAAAAAAGTAACCAGACTTTTTATGGAGGTAGATATATAACACAGTTATAGGCATCATTCAAAGCAAGCAAAGAAACTTCTTTTAGAATGGTTTGAATGCTATAAGAGAAATAGGGCTGTCAGTATAATAATATATAAGATTACATCAAATAAATATGTGGCTCTGTCTGTTACTAATGAAATAATATGCTAGACCCTCCTCCCTCAATTAGGTAACTGCTCAGATAAGAGATGGGTAATAATATGAATTTTCATAATAATGTCCTCAGACATCTCAAATTAGGGCCCCTTTGACTTTAATATCTTTGTGCCTCAGTAAAGAATGTGGACAATAATGGACAATAATACTCCTGTTGTGAAGGCTATTTTGAAGATAAATACATTAATGCTCGAGAAGCCCTTAGGAAATACAGCGATGAGTGTCAGAAAAAAAGCCCACAAGGAAATGAATGATTTCATCTTCATATCAAGGTTCCAATCATAAGTGCAGTAAGTAAGGCCTGGGGGCACAGCCAACACAGAAAAGGTAAACCAAAATATCGAATAGCTCCTCATTAAGTGAACACCATTCATCCTGTGCAGCAAGTGAGACAGAGATCCTGTGGAAAAATGTAATGTGAATAGATAATTAAAGACTGTATCATAATGCACACACAAAATAGGGGTGAAAAGTTTATACCGGTGACTTAATTTTGACATCTCATAATTCCTGAATGCATGATTCTGCAGCTTCAGTGGTGGTGTCACATTTTTAACACAATTTTTTACCTGTCACTGTATTTGTGTTGCTTTAATTATCATCTGCTCATTTCTGGTATTAGGCTTGTTTGTGTGATGCTTTTCTTTCTCTAATCCCCTGTATTTAGAACACATTGTCCAGATATGAAAACCTTTGCAGCCTGACCTTGAGGAACAGTAAGAGTTTGTGTAATTTAGATTAGTGCAGTAATTGTTTGGCCCAGATGCCAGAAACATCCCCAAGGGTATTTAACATTCATTCAGAAGATGTAGCTGTTGCTTTTCAACTTAAGGTCAGGACAAAAGCACAACTTACAGCCAAAAGAACATGCTGCAGTTCTTGTCTGGGAGGTGGCAGTTGCAGGTGTCTGGGGCACCACCAAGCAGCTGCCTTCAGAAATGTCACCCGGCACAGTCTGGGAAGTCTGGGCAGCTTTCTCCAACACACAGTCTGTAAAAACCAGGCCAAATCAAGACCATAAAAATGTACATTTGCACTCCTGACATGGAACTACAATCTTTTTGGTTTCCTCTAACTCTAGCTGTCTGATAAAGCAGATAATTTAATCACTTCTTTTCTGCCACCTACTCATTAATAGATCATGGGCTACACATGGGATCAGTGCTGCTGTTGAGAATTATTTGTTTCTCCACTTTGGGCACACAGTTCTGAAGTGGAATGAAATTTCATTATAGACCAAATGCATGCTGCACATTGTATATAGTCAAGCCCAAAAACCACCTGAGCGAAACTAAAAGTAAAGAGCCATCCAAGAAGGATTATAGGATTATATCCTTAAATCCATAGTGAGATACATTAGAATGTGATGTACACTGTTTTCTCATTTTCATCTACAGGCAATAGAATGGATTACCTAGCCACGAATTTCCATCATTTAATTCCTTGTGTGCTATGTGATGCGGGAAACATCACAGCAGATCTCAGTGAGAACTGATGGAGAGTGAAATCAAAGCTGGGCTTATATGAAAGGAAGAGCTTCAACGTCTCTCCTGAAAGATGAAATAAAATCACAGACAAAATGACCATTACCAGCCAGAACAACTACAGTGCAGTCTTCTGACTGACTGTACCACTAAGTTAACGCTAGCAGTGGTGCAAGCCATGAATTCACTGAGAAGTGCAGTGCTCCAGAGACTTCAATGATTGCTGAAAAGGAGATAGAAGCAAAGTTGGCCAGGACAGAGTAAAATTTGCCTGGCCACAGCAGAAAAGCAGCCCTGCCAGGGTTGGGTCACTGAAACCATGAGTACTTCCCTGGGAGTGAGGCACCACCACCAGCAGCTGCCTTTGGTCTGTGCCTCCCCCTGTGCCTCTGGTGCACCATACAGCGCTGTTGGATGGAGGGACACCATTTCAGGAGATTAAGCCAATTTCAAGCCTTTCTGCTGACATGCTACCCTGCACAGTAGTACTATCCTGCAACCACCATGATCTTTATGCAGAGACAGGGAGCTGCTTGCAAATGTCTGCTATGAGCTGGAGGTGGCCAGGCTTGGAGCTGCAGCCATGACTGCTGGGCCTGGGCTTCTTTCTCCCTTATGGCCCTCATAAGTGCTTCAAACCACTCCCAGCATCGGGCTGCCTCAGGACACACGCTGCCTTCCCCAGAGCCAGTCCTGAAAGCAGCTCTTTAATCCAGCTATTTAGCTATTTTCATCCAGGGAGAAGTGGATTCCATGCCTGCTGCGACTGATTTCAGAGGCTCTGACAGCTCCACCTTGCATTGGTTGCTAATGGATAGACCCCTCCATGCCTGTGGCTGCCCTCTCTGCTAATGAAGCGGGAGATGAAGCACATGGTACCATCACACACTACCTGAGGCTGTGTCATTCTGGCACTAGAGGTATCAAGACAAGTTCAGCAATACTGGCTACTGCAGCAATCAAACAAGTGTTGGGGAGAGTGAGGTGAAAACTACAGCTCTTTCCCAGTTTCCTCAACATCACCTCTGCCTCTGCTCGTACCATCTGAACAAGAGTGATGACGTATTGGTATCCCTACACCGTTGGCTCAGGCAGGGCTGTAAGGATTTTAATGAAAAATTAGATTGCAAATACTTTCTGGGTACTAGGAAGGGATAAAGAGAGGTTAATTATTTGGGGACCAGCTGAGGCATAGTACAGTCCAAAGTCAGCTGCAGGACACTGCTGAGACTATTTGGGAGACTCTACAGGCATGTTGACTTGTCGGGCCGTAAATAATGAGGGATGGGACCACCGTGCTATTTAGATGATTTATTGCCCAAATAAATCAGATAAGAGATCAGCCTCGAAGGTATGAGATTTGGAGAGAAGCAACAAGTCAGCCATAGCTCCAAGGTAGTCACTAGTTTCCTCTTCACACAGCAATATATAACATTTTGGTCCAATAGAGAGTTAACATGAAGTTTTTTTTTGTTACTAACCTATCACTTTTGCTAAATTCTGCTGCACTCATCTGATCTTCCTGAAATAAACCGTTAGGTCACGTACACACACATCTCTATTATAACTTCTAAGTCCTGAGTCTGCTCTATAGATCACACTATTATATTTCAAAACTCTTCACTATCCTATCCAACACAATTTCTTAAGGCATATTCTTACTTACAACTATAAGAACATAAGTTTATGATTTCTCTGCTTAATGTCTGTGTACTTTTATCACTACATTAACCCCAGCTCTTTCCAGGGCTGCAGATCAAACCCTTCAGTATCTGTGGAAGTTTCTATTTATTCATTTCCCACACTGACTTAGTTGTTTTGCTGCTCCAGTGGGAAACAGAAATTACACTGTGTTATGCAGCGATGGTGCTCAATTTATATATCTATCAGACCTGGTGTTTTTCTGAGGAATCTCCTTTCCCTAAAAAGCATTACATGGTGGAGAAGCAAACATGGTCAGATTCCAGAAGAAGGAAACTTTTTAGCTTCCCACCTGTAGGAAGCTAGAAATCTTATTGACTGAAGGCCACACGTACACAACACCTATGACCCACAGGGACATGATGCCAAAGACAGTATAGTTGAGTAATTAAATGGTAGTTGAAACTCAGAAACCAGCCTATAATTTCAAATCACTAAAAGCACTAGGGAATACCTCCCCTCCTCTACACATAAGAAAACAAATTATTTATTGATGTGCTCAGTAAAGTCTGGATTGACACAGATGCAAAAATATCTAATGTATTTGATATCTGAAGACACTCAGTAATTAAATATGTCTGTTTTGTCATACAAATAAAAGCAGCAGCTTTATAGCATGTTAGAAGAAGTCAAAGGCAATAAAAGTAATTCAATCTTTTTGTTGATGTTACATATTATAGGCTTCAAACTTTTTGAGGAAGTATAAACATTGCCATTCAATCAGCTTTGAAGAAATAACTCAGCAAAACCAACAATATCAAGTATGCTCTTGTTTCTTTTCCCCTCTAAGGTGTGATTAAGAGCAACCAAGCTGGTCTTGTTCCCTCTTCTTACTTGAACTCAGTATTATTAATAGGTGGATTGGTATGCTCTGTACAACCTGTCTGCAAGTCTTGTATGTTCAATATGCCATGTAGCTAAATGTAAAATATGGGTGGGCATAAAACTTGCTGCCGAGGCAGTGGTCTGTCTAATGATGGCAGACTGGGGTTTATCTCTCTCTTTTTAATTCACTGCTTGCATTTAAAAATTGCAAGCAATTCTATCAGTTAGAAAGCAGCTGAACCTGTTCAATCTTATCTCAGAATTTTCATTTTCAGATAAAAACCTGTGTAACACTCATAACAAAGCAGATTTCTACAGTCAAATAATACATTCCAGAGCATTGCTGTGGAGAGCTGAAATTATCTGAATTATTTCAGTCACCATTACTGTTATATCAACATAAACCACTCCAATATACTCTTAAGCAATACAACTTTTCTTATACATACAGCCAGCAATAACAAAGCCTATCACACACTGATTACAGCAGAATCTATGAAAAGGCTCTCTTTGCTATTGAAGATGAAAATAGTCCCGTGAAAGACTTGCAAATAATTCCCAGATTTTCTTGTTCCTATAAGTGCATGTTTTTCTGTGAATTTGGGCTGATATGTTGGTTTCCAAGGGCAGTATACGGAAAAGTTGGGTCTACTTTTAGACAGCTGCTTTGTTATTTCAGGCAAATACCTGTGCTGCCAAGGCAGGGCCTCAGTGTCACATGTATGGCATGTACCCATTGTCAGGGTAAAAGGGAATGACTGTGACAAATGAGAAGCTTTTCCAGCTAATTCATTTTGTGTGTAGTCGTCTCAGAGCCAAAAGGCTCCAGCTGGGACCAGTGCCTGATTACACTAGAAACTGTACCCAGTCAGACAGCCTCCTTTACTGAGCACCTTGGGGGCTTAAGCAGACAATCACACAACTGGTGAAAGAAAAGAACTACAGTTGTTCCTCTTCTGCAAATGAGGAACTAAGTGACAGAGCTAAAAAAAGGGCTCGGCCCTCAGCCGCTATAAATTGGCACAAGAGGATTCAGGTCATCACAAATACACCATGTTACAGCAGCTGAAGAAAACACTGGAGTTGAATTTATAATGCCTGAGATAAATTTAATGCATCCCAGCAAAATTTAACCATCTGCAATCAGTATAAAGAATGAAATGTACTTAAAAATATTGTACTGCACATGTCTTGTTTAATAAAATCCACAGCATGAAATGATGGTGCCAGCTATCAAACTAGACAAGCACAGAATGGTAACACTGCAAGAAAAACCAGACAGCTCGTTAAAATGGTAAGGTATATAATGTACAATAAGGGACAAAATACACCCACCTTTTCTCAGCAAAAAATTATTTTACTTATAATTTTCTTAGTCCCAAAGTAACTGAAAGACTTGAAGAAATAAACTGTACTTTATAGCAGGGTCTGGAAAGGGGCAAAAGAATGTTTCAAGGATTTTTGAAGGAATTTATATATCCCACTAGATCTTAAAAATATTTCAACAGAAACTTCTGAGTTTTAATTACACATACCAATGTTTTTTCCCCTCATCACCCTTTTACATAAACACTACCTGTACTTTCATTAAACTTAAAAGTGTTTTCCTTTAAAAGAAAGCCATTGGATTAACAATGCATTATTTCATGCTGTGACCTGTAAATATAATAAATTTCCATTCTCTTTGCCTTGTCCTCAGAAAACAACAAAGTGAAGGAGGTGTGGAGACTCCATGCCCTGGTTACTCAGGGCCTCACTTCCCTCTACATTTCACTCTGTAGGACACTCCATTTCTATATGCTTGTTCCTGAGCTGGCCATTTCTGGGATCACACTAACTTGTCCCTCTTAGTACACAATAACTCACTCCCTTGTTACCAGTCACAGAGAGATGATACAGGAAAATTAAAAGAAAACACATGCCTGATGGATGAAAGCGAAGCTCAGGAGAGCTACTCTTCTGTGTTCAAAATTGAAAGGAGAAAGAGACTTGATATTATTCAAGGCAGTGACTCTCAGGAAAAAAAAAAAAACAACCCAGCACTTTGGGACTAAGGAATTCAATGCAGATATAAATCCATAAGTAGCAGCTCTAGAGGCAGATTCAAGAAGAGAAATCTAGGACAGGCAAGAAAGATCCACATCTGACCCACTACAAAGAAATGCCATGGTGCCAATAATGGTATGAGAAACACTAGATTTATTTTTTGGTTAAATGGTATTTAGGAATGTACTCAGGTATGTAATTTGAATTTCATAGCAAGTACAAATAAAGTGAAGCTGTAGAAGACTGACAGAAGACTGTTCCTTTCTAGTCCTTTAATTCACTTTTATTTTCAGGATTATTTTTGAATGTTTTACATCAGTACTGATAAGGAACACTTCCACAATCCACAGATAGATGAGGAAGCAGAAAGGACAAAAGAAGAGGGGGAAGTCTTTACTGTGTGAGAGACTGCAGTAAGGAAAATCTATTACTTGCTACAGAAAGATTTCTCACAAAGTCACCCCACTTGAACCTGTCCCTTCTCCTTCACAGATCTGCAGGCCATGGGAGATACAGTACAACAGAGCCAGACCTCACAGCAGGATTCTTCAGCAAACATTGCACAATTAGCTGAGTACAAGTGTGTCTTCAAAATGGTTATCCATTTCTGTAATGCTGTTTGACAGGCGTGTCTAAAATCTGCTAGGAAGAGCAATATACTCTGAGTGGAATGAAACACTCCACATAATTCTGACAAAAGCAGTCCAGGGTATATGGTTCCTCCCTGTAAAACCTGCACCAGTAATGGAGCTGGATCTCTCATCAGTTTTATTAAAGGCAAATTTCCTCCTGCCCTGGCTCATCTGGAAAACCTGTCCCTGGTCACCTGCCCTTATTGCTAAGTTCACTTCTGAGAGATGACCTTATCAATGTCTGTCAGCTGAAGGGAAGGTGTCAAAAGGAGAAAGCTGGGCTCTTCTTGGTGGTTCCAAGCAATAGGACAAGTGGCAATGGGCAGAAACTGATGAAGTTCCACCTGAATATGAGGAAAAATTTCAACCAAGCACTGGAGTCCAGAGAAGCTGTGGAGTCTCCCTCACTGGAGATATTCAAGAGCTGTCTGGACACAACCCTGTGCTCTAGGATTACTCTGCTTGAGCAGGGAGGTTGGACCAGATGTCCCACTCTGGTCCCTTCCAACCTGGCTCATTCTGTGATTCTATGTGATTTAATACTTTGCCCTCCCAACATGAGATTATTGCAGTAGCAATCCTAGAATTACATTAATAAAACATGCCAACATATTTTCACAGTCCAAATAAATAACTTCAAGTAAATAAATAACTCAATCACACAAATGTCACTTAGAAATGCAATTAAAAAGAGCCTCTTGCTTTGTGTTATAAAAATATGAAAGAGTGCTCAGTACAAGCTGCTTCACATAAGATTTTTCTCTATATTCAGCAACTCTAAGGTCAAAATACTGGAATTACATTTTTCAAAGCCAAAAGAATGGTTTAGTAGTTATTTTATATGAAGACAGCTCTTTTTTTCTACCCTGCATGAAATATCAAATTCAGTATAGCTTGATACATCCTGCATTTTCATTCATACTTTCATTACAGCTGTGTAAAGTACAATAATTTATTATACATTCTCTTGAATCTTTTTGAAATATCAAGCAAAACATAAAATTCAGAGGTAGAGAAAATGAAGCACCAGAAATCTTATGAGAAAAGCAGTATTATGAGAAAAACAGTATTTCCTTTCTTATCTTCCCAGTTCCAACCATGAACCACAGTGAGCACAGAACAGTGGTGGACATTGGAAAACAAAACTGAACTACAGTATTCTCTGCACCTTCCACATGTACTGTGCACTAGTACAACAGTGATAAAATCTGAGTGTCACCAGTTCTCCTCTATGATAATTACTCAAGCAATAGACAGCTTTCTAAAAAGAACCTAGTGTCTCAGAAACGCACTCTGCTGGCAGAGTCAGTAATATATTGGAGAGGAAGGACCCATTGGTTCTCATATTCTTTGCTGACCTTCAGTTCAACAGTCTATCATGTCTAGGACCAAGAGCAAAGTCTGGGCCTTCGATGCTCCTCTTCCTTGCCTCAGCCCAAATGACATAATTTTTCACAGAGCTTTGGGTGAATTATTCACACAAGGCTCAAACCAAACACAAATGCCAAGGGGAGAGCACTGAATCAGATGAAGAAAGTTTTTGGCCACATGCTTGTGACCCAGATTCCTTTCTTAGTAGCTAGATTCAAAGGAGCAGACATCAGGCAGATTACAATGAATCATATCCCCAGTTAAGCTTTCAGGCAGAAGTCATTACACTCCAAAGACCTGTCATCAAATTACAAAATTTTCACATAAAAGTGGAAAGCTGAATCTTAATAGCAAATACTATTTTTCATCTATTAAAGTATCTTGGTGTGTGTATACCTAATATCATAAATTCTTGAAATATGGAAGTATTTCTTTCTTGTAAATTTACCTCATCTTCCTAAGAGAGGATTTGAATTTACAAAACAACCAGCTTCTGTTTCTTTTCCTGATGCAATTTTTGCAGGAAACACTTTCTAATTTGAAAAGTCATGCAGCTCTTACCTAAGAAGATAAATCAGCAATATTTTCACAATAAAAGGCCAGAGGCCTTTTTTGCAAAGTTACTGAGAATGATATTATAAAATACCCTTACTAAGAGTGATTGCAAGCTAAACATTTATTTACCTTTTTGTAGCCTTAGCTAAATGCCATTTGCTCTAGAGGAAACAGAGTGACTAGGCAGCCTCAACAGCCTAAGTGGAACATTAGGAGAGTGTACCTGCATGACAATAAGAAGGTCAAACACCAAGATGAAAGAAGCCAAGAAGGCTCTTGAGACCTCATCACTTGGCAGAAATCCACGATTCAGTTTGTCCCAGCTGATCCAGTCAGTAGTGATGACAAGCACAACTACAGAGGTCAGAGTAAACAGAACTGTCCTGGAAGGAAGAAGAAAAAATAGTTCAGAGAGAATACCATAGTAATGAAGATGCATCATTCTATTTTATCTGTCTTCTAATGGTCAACTATTTTATCAGTACTTTTCCACTGATGAAAACAGACTAAATAAAATTAAGTGCACAAACAAATCTTTTAATTTAAAAAAGAAAGAAGTCAGCTGTATTCTTAGTGAAAATTAATTTAGTAGCTAGTTCTAAGCATATTGCAAAATTAGCTGGAGTATAACACTCTGTTGCTTCATTCTGTATTTTTCACTGAAGATGAAAAACAGCCAGGTAAAACAAGACAGAAGTAAAATGCACCAAGGCCTGCATGATCTAGGCCAAATTCAAATCAGTTAATTGAGAGAACATTGTCGAAGGCTCCAGATACATTAGAACCTTTGAAAATCTTTTCTAAGCTATAGGAGCTACAAGGCATTAACTGTGAAGTCTAATTTTTATACAGAAACATGTCTCCATAAAAAAAAAATTCAACACACTAAATTAATTTTTAGTAAATTCTGGAGATTGTTGAAAGACTTTGCTTCGTGTTTTCTAAGATGTCATTTGTAAAAGTTTTCAATCTTTGAGACGTCAGTGAAGAGTGAATCACAAGGATATTAAAGCCTCTGTATAAATGCTACAAGAATTCCAGAAGATACATTTGACTAATTCATACAATTCTGAAATACAGTATTTAAGAAAATATCTTTCTAAGCTATCCCTGCAAAATACCTCTGCATCATTTCCAGCAGCACTTTGGTAATACCTTACAGGGCTGGCAGTGGTGACTGATTGAATTTCTGGTTCCCTGGAAGCTGGAAAATTTAGCTGGTAATTTAAGGGTGAGCAAGGCTTCTTCCAGTATCCATAGCTGTCAGTAAATCTGTGCTATAATAGTGGCATATCCAAATCTGCATGCATGCTAATGGCTAAATAATTGTGGCAGGATTTTTTTTTTTTTTTTTTTTTGTACAGTAGTAATATCTCATTTTCTTCAGCTACCAAGTGTTGCAAAATAGAGTGAAGAATATTTCCCATGACACTTCCAAACAGGACAAATACTCAGCAGAGGAAAAAAAAAAATAAAAATCTGTACACCAGTAGTCACAGGCTACCAGTCTGCATGCATTTATTTTTATACAGTAGCCTTGCCTGTATCTGTGAGAAGGGGAAAACAAATATGCACATAGGCAACAGTATAATACATTTGGACTCCTAAACATCATTCTTCTGTGACATGATGGGCTGCATTTCTTCAGAATGTAATGACACACAAAATTACTTGATTGCTACCACCTTTACCTAGGAACATTTATTTTTGTTCTTAATTTATTAACTCAGTTACATGCACCACTATGGTTGACACCCTAACAATTTCCCTCAAAAGAATTACAAGCACCTAGGCAAGAAAAAAAACAATAAATGAGGCATATTAGATATAATTAGACCTAAGCAATAGTCAAGCCTTCTTATCCCATAACATTTGCTTAGCTACCATCTCGACAGTCAGTACCTGAACCTGACTGACTTTTCTACAAGCTCCACTTTGGCACATGCACAGAATAGTTCACTTTGCAAAGACACTTCTCTCTCTTGCATATAGTCTCTTGAGACACACAAAGGTGTTTTTTCCTACTTATTTCACCCTCATATCTGAAATTCTCATGGTTAATGTTCTTACTTTACCTGAAAGTCTCTCCAGAAAGAAAACAATCCTCAGCACTTGCCTGCTGGCTGAGGCAGACTCCCCCACCCACTAGGCACCCTGATTTTCCTGGACCTCTTTCTGTAGAACCACCTCTCCTGGGGCAGAGGAAGTTTAAAACCATAATTCAAATCCGAGTATTTTGCTATAGGAAGCATATACCCAGAAGTTATGCTCAAGACTATTCTGCCTCAGTCCTCTTGAATTATGCATTTGCATTTTGGAGCAAGAGTTCAAAGCATGGAAGGTCGGACTTTGGCATGTAGGCAAGCAAAGGCAGGCATATTTTTATTCATGCTTTGTTGGCATGCATGCAAAGACCGATGTGTGTGCTCAAGTCCTGATTTCCTTGAGGAAATGCATATGCACTTAGAAAACTGCTTTGTTATTCATTCTGAAATGTCAAATAGGGAGGGAAGGGAGCAGAAAATGGGCTGCTAATAGAATAAGAAAATGTGAAACCAACAAGGAAGGTTAGAAATAGACTTTCAAAATGGTTGCATTAAACAGCATAATTAGTGCTCAGTTGTATTTTGACCTATGATACTGGAACACAGCAAGATATTCACTAAATGCTTTTGGAGTTATTATAAACTGAGCTTGTTTGGGTTAGAGTTCAGTTCACTTCTTGTGAAAGTACAGTGTCCTGGAGATTAAGAAAAAAAGATGAGGATTTCATTTAACTTGACACAACTTGTATTGGATAAACCAATGTGAGCTACCCTGCAATATCTAGCCCAGTATAGTTTGCCCTTTATTCTGCAATGCACATTATTGAGAAAGAGCTACACCATCAAACTATTCACTGCACTGCTGGCAGTACCTCTCCTCATTACAGAAGGGGAAAGGCTACAAGGTGAAGGGCAAGAGAGGACTAACCCTTCTCTGTATCAGGCATTAAGAAATGCAATTTCTGTCTCTAGTTCATGAAGGAAATACACTTTTATATTTCACTTCTAACTCTAGCTTGCTGTATTGAATGATTATGTGCCCTGGACACCTATTCAGCTGCAATAACACACATTTTACAACCTACTGCATGCTCCTTAAGAGTACAAATAAACACTGTCCAGACCAATAGTATACTGAATAGTTAAAATTATTAGGTAGGTCCACAAAAGTCAGTACTGTGCTTATTACTGCCAGTGAATTATTTAAAATCTCCAGTGCTACTATGAATGGGGAGGGGGATAAAAAGGGGGAGGCTGAAAGAGAACTTTTACTGCCAGAAACCTCTCAAAAAATAAGCAATTTTTTTGACTGTATCTTTATAATAATCTTTGATTGCCAGGACTGAGTTTGGTCTTGAATTTGTCAAACCAAATCACTCATGCTAAACTGAATCCATACTACTGGTCCATTTGTCCAGAAGAGTAATCTGGTTCTCAAATACTTTTGGTAAGGTCCAAAACATATGCATCTTCCCTTCTACCCCTTTCCATAGCACTTTCTTGCACTATAAGCTTTGAGCAAACTGACCAACTTTAAAAGTTTCATTCATCATATTATACCTTATGAGAGGTTGTGAACCACATGGACCAGAAGCCTGAGCAGGTTTTAGTCACTGGGGGTGGTTCTCTCATGGCAGACAGGGTGACAATCTAAGCCTTGTAGAGAGAAAACACAATGAACTCCTGTGACCTTATGTCCTGGATGCTTGGAGACACTCTGCTGTTTAGCATGTCCTACCTTCCTCATCAGGAGATCATCCTCATCCTAAGCAGAGCCCATGAGGCCACAACTCATTCTCTTGCAGCCCCAAGGCGGTACCACAAAACCACTTGTAGCACATCCCCTCCAAACCTACACCAGAAGCACCTGTGACTCCACACATCCACACCTTCAGGAATCAGTGTTATTTGTCTGTACTGAGTGAAAAACTGAACAATCCAGAATTTGTCCCTGAAAAGATAAAAACTAATAAATGTATACATGCTCACAAAACACTTAATGTTGGAAACAAGAACTGTTTCCAATCTGACTCTCATGATTCTTCATGTCTAAATCAGCAGGGCAAAATATACCAAAATGGATTCTGGTCTGTGATGGAACCTCACTTCTCAAATTGCAACATTTAACAGTTGTAACAAGAAAATTAAGTTTTTCATTCAAAGGTTAAACACAATTCTTTGCACACCACTACGTTCCCTTTACTTGTGACTTTGAGCTGCTCATTTTTAAAGTTATTTAGAATTTTCTTGTCTTACATTACCCTCTGCCAAATCTTTTACAATGCTACAGCTTTGATGATGAGACAGTAAGAGTTCTGTTAAGATAATTGAAGAGATGAAAGACAAACTGTAGTTATTTTCTTAATTTTCATTTCATCTTTTTCAAGGGGGAAAAAGCATTATCTTGCCCTTTGACAAGACCTTTTCCAGAAAAATCTACCTTGCTTAGTCAAAAGTTGCTCTTAGATTCGTATGACACAGCATTTTGAGACCTTTTCACCATAATTTTACACATAATTGTCACTAAGCTAGGTCATTTGGAAATCATTAAACATTGTTAACAAGGATTCTAAGAATTGCTTAATACAACGTTTGTGGAACACATGAGACAGAACCAAAGAAACTGGTCAGCCCCACTCCTCAGGGCTGCCCTTTGTGGGAGTCTGCCATTACTGCTGTCCCACCCACATCACACTGCCAGTTCCTGGAATGTCTCTTCATTTCCCTGGGGTTCCCTCAACTCAGAAATCACCCCTCTCATATGTCACAATCCCTCACAATCCCTGCTGTGGAATGCACCTGCACTGGCACTGATTGCCTTGGCAGTTTCTCATGAATGTACCCAAATATTTGCAAACGTCTTGTGAAAACAGATACAGAAAGGGAATGAGAAATTTTACTGCTCTTTGTATTTAAATTGGCTTTCCAGTCCTCAGGAAAGAAAGATCATCCATCAAGTCAAATATCTACATATTTTTTTATCTCAGAATCAGCACTGGCCAAATATACAGTCACACAGTGTACAATAACTATAAAGAACAATGCTACTGCAGATGTTCATTTAAAAATGTCAACACTTATTATTTCACTTTTTTTTAATTAAGAAGGGCTCTGTTATTTAATCTGTCAAAAATAGGAACTCTAAGCCCATTCAAAATAAAATATTTAGTCTGCCTGTTGCTTGGTGTCAGAACCACTTTTGCAATTAAGCAAATATAAGGGACAGATGCTCTGGTGGTGAAAAGCATCTGTGTTCCCTGGAGCAGCATAACTTCAAACCTCCAGCTGGCCACTGCTCTTCTGTCCCCACGGGACAGTTCTCGGAAAGAAGTAAGAGC